AAACTGTGAGTTGGACAGGTGCAAAAAGAAAATTGAAATTTGACCATGACCTTGTACCGGTTTTTCTAACCTGGTGACCTGACCCGGACCTGAAATTTTCAGGTCATATGTAAAAAGGTTGCCCCATAGGCTGTGCCAAATTTGGCGGCGCTGCGCGCCGCCGTTTTTACGCTATCTTCGAAAAACCTTAGAGGGGGGGGGGGGTCGTAGGGGGGGGGGGGGTCGCATCGACCCCCCCCTGCCAGGGCGAGGGTTAAGGCGGGATGTTCCAGCTACTGACACCTGTAACGGTGTCAGGGGATGTTCTTCGACAGGATGTATCTCTCCCGGCGCCGACCCTTTCGATCAAGCCCTTCCAGCAGCCGCAGACCGACCACAGGCCGCGTCTGGCGGTGGATCGCTCCCCGCTGCCGTCTATTCGTCATGCACGACGTGTCACGAACTTTCCGGTGGCGGGCACAGTGCGGGGTAATTTTGTCTGGCGGTGAGGCGCGCTCGTCAGCCTGCGATGGGGAAGGGGAGGGGTTAGGGTCGTGGTCGGATTTACCTGTGAAGATTGCGCCGCTCTGCCGCCGAGGTATGCCCTTCGCGTGCCGGATGACGACGCGCTGAAAAATCCATGGAGATCTCTCACAAGATCCCCGCACGCTTTGCTTGGCTAGATTAGAGGCCTTCTGAAAATGCATGCATGCTTAACAGTGCTGATTAATTGATTCGATGGCGGTATTACGTCTCAAGTCAGCACGCTTTAACTATACCTACCACTAGATGCGCAGTGCACACGCCAATAGGGCTCTTAATTACGATCAAAGAGCACTTCGATCGAATGACCGGGAAGCTGACCGAATTGGAAATATAATATCCATACTAGCCTCACTGTGGTAACGAAAACCAAAACAATATCCTACATCGATGCCAAATGCACAATCATTTTCATATTTCAAACATCGATATATCTTCTCCCATGCGGATCATACACTGGCTCATGTCATTTTGCATTTCACTGGACATTTATTTACTATTTGCATATATCTCATGAATGGATTTTACTCATTGTTTTGCACATTTAAATTGGTCCGGCCTCTCAGAGGCAGAGGAGGATCCTCCTCAGCGGGTGAATGACGACAAGTTACGCCACCGGTGGCTGAGGGCGAGTCGTGAGCGAGTCTTTAACGGAACGAGAATGAACGAGCCGGCGGAAAGAGCCGGTGCCGACGGGCGTGCTCTATCACTGAGTAGGACAGCGTGTGGTGACAGCCGAGCCTCTCGCCGTTTCTGCTCTGCTGTGCTCTGTTCTCTCCTCTCCTCTCCTCTCCTCTCCTCTCCTCTCCTCTCCTCTCCTCTCCTCTCCTCTCCTCTCCTCTCCTCTCCTCTCCTCTCCTCTCCTCTCCTCTCCTCTCCTCTCCTCTCCTCTCCTCTCATCTCCTGTGGTATCCAAACGTGCAGCGATAACAGCTACCGTTATCCAACACGGCAGTAGCGGTGCCAGGTGATGCTCCTGTCGTGCTGCTCTCCTCTCCTCTCCTCTCCTTTCCTCTCCTCTCCTCTCCTCTCCTCTCCTCTCCTCTCCTCTCATCTCCTGTGGTATCCAAACGTGCAGCGATAACAGCTACCGTTATCCAACACGGCAGTAGCGGTGCCAGGTGATACTCCTGTCGTGCTGCTCTCCTCTCCTCTCCTCTCATTTCCTCTCCTCTCCTCTCCTCTCCTCTCCTCTCCTCTCCTCTCCTCTCCTCTCCTCTCCTCTCATCTCCTGTGGTATCCAAACGTGCAGCGATAACAGCTACCGTTATCCAACACGGCAGTAGCGGTGCCAGGTGATACTCCTGTCGTGCTGCTCTCCTCTCCTCTCCTCTCATTTCCTCTCCTCTCCTCTCCTCCCCTCTCCTCTCCTCTCCTCTCCTCTCCTCTCATCTCCTGTGGTATCCAAACGTGCAGCGATAACAGCTACCGTTATCCAACACGGCAGTAGCGGTGCCAGGTGATACTCCTGTCGTGCTGCTCTCCTCTCCTCTCCTCTCATTTCCTCTCCTCTCCTCTCCTCCCCTCTCCTCTCCTCTCCTCTCCTCTCCTCTCCTCTCATCTCCTGTGGTATCCAAACGTGCAGCGATAACAGCTACCGTTATCCAACACGGCAGTAGCGGTGCCAGGTGATACTCCTGTCGTGCTGCTCTCCTCTCCTCTCCTCTCATTTCCTCTCCTCTCCTCTCCTCCCCTCTCCTCCCCTCTCCTCTCCTCTCCTCTCATCTCCTGTGGTATCCAAACGTGCAGCGATAACAGCTACCGTTATCCAACACGGCAGTAGCGGTGCCAGGTGATACTCCTGTCGCGCTGCTCTCCTCTCCTCTCCTCTCATTTCCTCTCCTCTCCTCTCCTCCCCTCTCCTCTCCTCTCCTCTCCTCTCCTCTCATCTCCTGTGGTATCCAAACGTGCAGCGATAACAGCTACCGTTATCCAACACGGCAGTAGCGGTGCCAGGTGATACTCCTGTCGTGCTGCTCTCCTCTCCTCTCCTTTCCTTTCCTCTCCTCTCCTCTCCTCTCCTCTCCTCTCCTCTCCTCTCCTCTCCTCTCCTCTCCTCTTCTCCCCTCTCCTCTCCTCTCCTCTCCTCTCATCTCCTGTGGTATCCAAACGTGCAGTGATAACAATTACCGTTATCCAACACGGCAGTAGCGGTGCCAGGTGATATTCCTGTCGTGCTGACGGGGGACAATGACATGACACCACCAGACATTATCCAGACGTGATAAAGATTTCATGCTCTGCACAGTGAGTCATAGATATATCGATTAATTTCTGACAGGTCTCTAAAAAGTGCAACTGAAGAGGCTGGTCAGTGTTCTCCCTATTTGGGTGATCAGACAATTGATTCGCTATCGAGTTTGTGAAAGGCTGTCGATTCTTCCGGGTTAATTACCCTCATTGCAGGTTGTGCTAAATATGCAGTTTATCAGATATGCAAAACATCATGAGTCAACTGTCAACTACCCCCACATGGCTGGATCTGGATGCAACCGATACAGCTACCTACTGACGAAAAAATAAATGTCGCCATCAGACCTATGATCGTTTTGTCTTCATGTGATGTTACACGAGAGCATCGCCCTGGTGGAAGTTATGAGTCAGACCGGAGCGGCATGGCAGCGGCTGCGGTGGAAATCGCTCCACTGTGCGTCACACACCAACGATTGCCGTCCGTGGTCCGTGACACTTTCACAATTGATTCCCGGCGACACCGGCGGTATTTACTCGCGTTTTCAGAGCGCGCTTACCGCCGCTTTCGCCCCGCTACGAACGCAGACGGCAGTTTCACATTATTTTGGGTCATTCGAAAACACATGATGTACTGGGTAGTAACAAGTGACATTTTCTCTGATGCAGAAAGCATGCTGTCTCTATGTGAAATGAGTGGATAGTTGCTTGACTAAATAATTTACTACTTGAATGAGAAAGTATGCTGACGCATAAGCTTGTGCTGGGCTAGAGTTTAGCATGTTACCCCGTGGCTCTCGTGAATTAGCTACCTATTCAGGACAGTGTCTTGCAATGAGTTAGAGACAAACTCAAGCCAGAGGACGACAAATATGTATAAGCCACGGTGCAGCGATAGTCCAGGTTTCGGACACCAATGTGCGGAATGTGGGACAGGGGCTCCCCTAAAGCCATGCGCCCTATACCTACATTGTAACATTGATTCTGGCATACTCGTGTATGCATTGAGACTCTGGCGTTAGATTTCATTGCTGCCATAATATTGAGGGGAAATGCCCTTTGCATATTTTCAGCATTTCTGTTGCAAGATTCAGCATCGATAGCGAGAGTTTAAGCGCCTTTAATGATCTGCACCTTGACTAAATGCTTAGCCAAGTGCGTGAACTTCATTGCATTGCAAAGCTTCTTTGTCCGTTATGCATGGGTGATTGCGAACTTCCAAGGCAAAGTAGAAGTTGATAACCATCTAACATGTCCAACGCAATTGATGTCACCACCCTTTGAATTCAGTGGTATAAGGGATTTTACACTCGCTGATACATGTATTATGTAAACAGTTAGCAGCGCGTGACACGGCATTATTTGAATAATTTTCTCCTATGTGTAAATTTTTTCCATCTTGTTTTTTTCAGTGCCAAAACTGCGGTTAAGCTTTGCTTTTTGCACGATTCAGTTTTTTTTAATTTTTCATGGCAGACGATATATGAAAATACGTGGCTCTGAAAGATGTGCCTATTTCGTTTGTATGTTACATGCATAGGGAATTGGTATGCTGTTCATTACTAAAACGAGTATGTTATGCATTTTTTCTTCTTAACTTTGTAATGGATTTAAATAGGATCGTCGAAGAAAGCAAGGAATATTGCACTTGACATGATTGTGGTGCTTGGTACTCGATTATTGCTTTTTTTTAGTTAGAAAAAAACGGCTAACGCGCGTTTTACCGAGCCGTGGAAACATTAACATATTTCCAATATAGCGTTAACACCAAGGTGTATCACATTTGTATATCGCATTAAAAGATATCTACATTGGAAACATACTTTTAGGCAAGCGCCTCCGCCCACAATAATTGGACACAGGGTCACGCACACACGCCACACAAGGTAACCTGATCCTGATCACGTGTTTGTTTTACTTTACTTCTCTGTCAACGCCCACGTGTAATTGAGGTGGAGTCCAAATGAGCTGATCGTTTTCCGATCACGCCATTTTCCTCTCCGCTGCGCCCACGCATGGATGCTGAATGTTTGATAGGACAGCTGGATGAGGATAGTTGGTGTGGAATGGAAATGAAGATATTGGTCAGAATTGGTGAAGCAGTGCATCTGTGTACAGCACAGCACTCTAAATGCTGTTGAATGATTGAAATTCAATCCTCTATACTGCTGCCGCTGTCGCCACGATCACATCTCTCGCCCATTGCCCTGCCCGGGTCACATACCGTGCACGGGCCGGGTGCAGACTGCAGCTGTGACCGCAGCTCTCCCAGCCGTACCTCTGTGCAGACTGGTGTGTCTGAGCTCGGAGACACGTTCCCGTGGGAGCTGGCCGGTCATGACCGGACGGAAGACGCGCCAGACTCCGCGGCGGCGGCTGCATCGTAGGTGGTGGGGATAAAGACTATATAGAGATGCCAATCTAATATAGTACCAACCAACCTTTTGATGCACTTAGCCAACAGCACCAAGTTACTAATACATTTTTATTTGTTATTTTGCGTTTGGATGCAAGTGTTATTGCCGTTATAACTTGGATAAATTATTAGCATTGAAATGTTCCAAGATTGGGAAACAGTTTTTGTTTCCACCGGGCTAATTTTTTGGGGTATTGCATCATGTTGTTACGGCTGGCCAATAATCTGAAAATGATATCACCAGTAAAGACGCCTGCGGTGACGGTGACGGTGCTGCTGGTGCCGATGACAGCATAATTTATTTGGTAGTGGTGTTTAACCTTCCAGGCGGTGGGGGGGGGGGGCATTTTTTGCCCCCCCCCTTTAGTTTTTCGATATATCTCGAGAATCGCTGCGCCGATCGTCACCAAACTTTCAGTACCCTCCCGGGAGTAGCTAGCGCACATGGTGACTAACATTTTTTTCCAAAGGCTATGATAGGTTGGCCGCTAATGACGTCAGAGTGACGTCATTTTTGCCATTTTCGACCCAAAAAAAGGTTTCGCGGGAAGAGCTGTCAGGCCTACAGCTTTAGAGATACAGAAAAATGTTCCAGACATAGAAGGTGTGGAATCAAGAGGGCTACAAAGCTGTTATTTCGGTTTTTCGAATTTTTGGATTTTGACCCCCAAAAATCAAAAAATAGATTTTTTGAAAATAATAGCTGAAAAATCCAAAAAGTTTTTTAAATTTCGAAAAAACCGGAATATATGTGATAGTCCCTACCGCCTTCTATCTACATACCAAATTTGAGATCAATACCTCTATTTTTGGCCAAGTTATAGCGAAAAAACTGTTCAAAATTGATGACGTAAAATTTTCAAACTCAATTTTTAGCAATTCTAGACCTCGTGGCGCAAAACAAAGACCATCATTAGACTCCCCGTGACGAGCTGCATCGAATTAATACCCATTTTATGCAAAAATATCAACTTTGAAATTTGACCTTTTTTGACCTGACCTTGACCTGACCTCCACCAGAAAGTGACCTAAACCGTACCTGATGGTCTTATAACCAATACCATTGAGCTAGAAATAAAAAAACTGGCCATAAAACATGCATCGCACAACCTTAGTAAAGTTGGGTTCAAGTGGTGACCCTTGGTGACCTTTGGTGACCTGACCTGTGACCTGACCTGGTACGACCAGTGACCTCTAATAGCAACATATGTACTAGACAACTGACGCCTTATCGCTGATTTTCGACAAAATGCGTTTTACTCGGTGTTATAGCGCTTTCCCTAGAAGCCCCGTGAACGGTGAAATATTTTATCTTTGACCTGACCTGTGACGTCATCGGTGACCCCGAGGTCAATGAAATTTGGTTTCCTTCGACAAATTTGACAGGACTATCGAACGCCGTTTGAATTTTCCGGATCCGTCCAGTAGTTTCGGAGATACGAGGGGGGGGGGCAAAAAATGCCCCCTCCTGCACCGCGCGGAAGGTGGCTGGGAGGCCCACCGCCTGCCAGGTTAAGTTTTTTTTTTAGACGCTGAACGCCAGCTTTGATGCCGTGCAGATGTCTCTAGACGTGCTCTGCAAGAGAAAATTTGACTGCAGATGAGATACGGGTAATAATTGAGGCAGTTAGTGTACTTCCCTGATCATGGCTGCATTGTTCGAATGCTAAGGCCTGGGAAGGTCATGCACCTTATCGAAAAAGTTTTTGTTATTTCCATAACGTCATGAGCACACCGCGCATTGGTGCTGCCGTTTGCATATTTGAACCGGTCTGTGTCGTGAAAGGCATACGACCTTCTATCAGACAATATACTTCCTTGAACCCAGTCGGGCACGCTCAATCACGGAAATGCACAATCTAAAATTGCACGAAGATGTATCATTTAGCGTGCATCCCTGCATGGCTCTGGTACTCAACAAATATGCCGTTATATTTTTGGGCCATATTTTCGCACAGGTTTCGTGCCAATTTGAACAAATGCTGCTCAGGCAGCGCCACTCTTATGTTTTAAGGATTTGATTTTCTCATGAATTGCAAATGAGCCTTTCGGTATGCTGGAAACTCCAATTATTTAGCCAAGGGCCGTTTTGGCGACCGTCAGGGACATTTGTTCTCCATACCTGTTAAATATCTCTAACTTGTTTTCTGTGTTTAAATGGCCTTGAACTTCTGTCGCGCTTTTGGAAACAAGCGAGTCTCTTTTCACATTTAAATGTTCTTGTGACAGTTCTAAAGAGCTATCATGCTTCTTCCTGTCTTTTACGGAATGTGCCGTGAAAAGTGATGCATTTTAAGCAGCGAAACCCGGGCGGGGCGTTCCACGGCTCGAAGAGAGTACCTATATTGTTCCTGTCGCGGTGTGGTATGCGGTTTAAATGTCTCCGCAGATCCCTCCCTGCCTTAATTGCCACCTTTTTATCGGCTGTTCTGTTGTGGAGACAGAGAAGCGCGGCTGATGTCACGGTGACAAACGTGGTAGCCTTGACTGAGGACTGGGCGTGACGGAGGCCGTCGTCCTCTCAGGAAGGCTGCGGGCACCTCCCGTCAGTGATATATGCGCTGCTGTGTTGGTTGGACTAGTCCAGAGGGCCACTCAGATTGGTCCTGAAGACCACCGTGGGCACACACACGACCGGCTGCTAACATGAGAAGAGATAGCAGCAGCACTTCTCTTATTTTGATTACGTCGGGACGTCTCTCCCGGAGACCACGCCTCATGCTTCTGTCCCCGACCTGACCCTAGATGTTGGTCATGTTGATGCAACTCATCTTGAAGGTGACGCCCATGACAGCGCAGATCTCCGATGCAACGTCGCCAGATTCTGCTGGACAAACACAGGGTGTTGATTTCATCATGCGCCCTGCGGTGGGGCTCGCCGACCTTCGAGCCGCCCCGACTGGTGTCGGACCTCCCGGCCGTTTCATTAGGCTCATTTGTTAACGTTTGTGATGGAGCTGACACTAGCACTCAGCGACCTCCTCAGCCGGAGATGATGGCTCTCCAGCCTCCGGCGGTAGGTACAGGTGACGCAACCGTGTCGCCTGGATCACGGAGAGGTCGTGACCTCGGGTCAACGCAGCGCCGAGTGAGGGCTGGGGATGTTATCGGACAGCTGTTGGCTTGTTGTATTTCGAACGACAGCTTGCTAAATGTCTTTTCGTCGTGACCAAGGGGTGGTGCCGACCCTGACGTGAGCATTGATTACTTGTATTGCCTCATCGAATGGCATCTGCCGGTGGTTGTCAGACTCTGCGGCTGGCCGTAAAACCGATCGCGTATGGGCACGCTCGTAAGGCACACTGCGGCGCGACATTGGACATGGGCCATCGATCAGCTCATGGCCGGTCCCCCGCGGACCCGCAGCGCTCTCAGAAATTACACAAACTTGTGAAACGGCAGTCGCCGCCGCCGCCGCCGCTTCAGACGGCGGAGAAAAACGGCGAACGTCTTTAGACTTGGATGAAAAACGACGCCATCTCCGCAACGCACCTGAGTCGCGCACAAAACAGCTCAATCGTCCCCCTGCGTCGCGGATGCCTGCTAAATATGGAAACATGCCATCGTTGTGTTCAATCTTACAGGAATTCCCATTTATTTTCGGAGGCCTTTGACGTGGTCCGTTCATTTGTTATCGTCCACGCTACAGTGAATGGTCTTCGGTCAGTTGTCCGCGGTTCGGTAGCTGCGCTGTATGAGTGGTACCGGTCAGAGACCTTGTAAGTTGTTTCCAGTTTGGATATACAATGCGTTCGTGATGATTGTGACATGCAGTATTGCATATGGTTTGATGAGAAGACATTGAATCGGGATTATTTCACGTATTGTAGACTTTTGGTGTTTATTTTTTATATTTTTTATCAGTCTGGCTGCGCTTTTTGGCATCTGTGTGGTTGTAAGTTTTACCTTTGCGTTTTTTTTCCCAATTAATGCCCGTTTGGAAAGGTTTCTGCCGCATAATAATCCCATCAATTACCGGCCGCCTTGCGGTGAAGGAACTCCTGGTTCCATTCCTCCTTACCTACGTCATGCGGACCACTGACTGCTGCTGTCTCCGCCGCCGCCACCACCGCCGGATGCCTAAGCCTGTAGGACCGCCGCCGCTTCTTGCAGACCCTGCCATTGTCGCCGCGACTGCAGCCCCATTGTGTCGGCACGTGCGTCGTGCAGGTCCGCCCGGGGCAGGGCGGGGAAGCACTTACGGGAAGGACCTCAATACCTAGTCAGCGAGGGGTGGGGATTAGGAAACACATGGAAACTTCAGTTTGAAAGCTCACTGACTTGTTGGCTATCGTGTTGACAATATCTGAGCTTTCCAGTTGAGACATCCCTTTGAGACAGAGATATAACAGCTGTGACGTCATATCTCCTCCTTTTCCCCACAGTTGAACTTCTGAAAGAGAAGGAGGCTTTGTGGCAGGCCTTACCACCTCCTAATGATAGTGAACAGCACTAGCTAGCAATCCTTCCAGGAAACTCGTTCTCTGTCGAGACGACCTGTCACGCCGCACGATCGGCTTCTATAACTATTCTCTTGAGAGCTCCCCTCGTGCAGCGCTTCCGACGGGAGGAAAACGAGTTCAGCGATGTGTTGGACGCTCCGCCCACCTATCCTGCGGTCAATAAATGAAGGGGCTGTAAGTATGTTGTGCCAAGGAGAGGTACAGGGGAAGGAAGCTGCTGAGAGTCTGGGATGCCTTGCCGATGAGGTTGAGCTGCACCCCGACACCACACAGCCGCTGAAGCTGCGCCCTGCGTCAGCGCTCAGTTATGGAACGCCACAGGAAGCTGTCCCCGGCCGCGGTTCCTGGAAGTGGTGCGGTTTTCTGGTGAACGCACCGCTCTCCGATCACACGACATTGTGGTGTTTTACTGTGTACAGGCGTGAATGTTGCTGCGGAAGAGGAAAAAGTCCCACGGTCGGACGACTGCAGGTGCTGCTGCAAGGTCGGCGCCGGTCGGGCCTTCGGT